AAAAAATCTCATCAAGCACAGGATCGAAACCTCATAGAAATAAGAACCTCATATCTAAATATAGAGCTGAACATTTTGCAATGTCAAAAGTGTGAGTTTTTTTTCTACTGCATACAACCTGATCATTTATATCAGTGGAAAACAGCACTGATATAAAAATGTTATTATTCAAACCAGTTTTAAACCTAATCATGAATTAATACAGGGCTAATTAGTATGTAATTTGGGTGGAGAAATAACCTAATCAATTTTAGAGACATATTTTAACTAAGATTCAATTTTTTTAACAAAAAGACCTTCATCTGCACTTCTGTCGAAGACATGATTTTTACATCTACTTTGATAAGGCTTTTGTGGCACCAGAGGGATAAGGTAAGAACCACATGGACTGCATGCAAAGCTGGGAACTTCAGAAATTAGAAACTGAATTCCTTTTAAAAAGAATCAAGAATGGTTTACTATGTTGTACTGAATTATGTGGGCAAATATTAGGCATCTGTGCTAGTCAGCTTTCTGACACTATAAAACCTCTGCTAACCAACTGCTATAGAGAAAAGGTTTCTTTTGATTCTTGGTTTTGAATGTTTCAGCTCATGACTGATGGACTCCATTGCTTTGGGCTTGTGGCCAGGCAACACATCATGGCTGGAGTATGTGAAAGAGGAAAACCGAAAACTGTTCACCTCATGGCCAAGAAGCAAATAGAGGAAGAGTGAGCGAACTGGGTCCCACCATCCCACTTGAGATCTTCCCCACAATGACCTAAAACCTTCCTGCTAGGCTCTACCTCCCAACAGCGCCACCGCATGCATCAGCCCTTTAACAAATGGGCACATTAGAGATCAAAATTTCAGCAGAAACTTATAAAAACGTGTTATTTAAATTCGAAATTTCCTTCACATAAATCATTTTTACCTAGTTTACTTCCATGAATGTCTCTTATGAGGCTTATGCCAAGTTACTTAAGCACAAGGGTCTTAGGATGTTGAGTAAAACCTATTTCAGATGAGAGAACAGTAAAGATTCTAACACCCTTCCATGAACGGTTGTTCTTTACTGTGTGTTAGCCCTTGCTCTGTACTTCCCAGAAGCCCAAGAGAAAGGACACAGTGGAAGGCATTAATTCTCCTCCTGTCAGAAAGAGAAACTCTTCCTGATGATCCTTAAATCAATGAGTCCTTCGAGTTATCATACAGAGGGCACACGATGACTCATGCATCATACCTGAAATTTATTTTGAAGTGCCCCAGGTAGAGCCATCATTTGGTCATTTCTTTAAAGAAGCCAAGGGCCAGCACGGAAAGCTAATTCTATACAGATACTTCGGCTATCATGGAAGTAAGTGAAAGAGTTTTACCTTCTCCATGGAAAAGGGGTGTCTTTGAACCGAGAGAAAGGTTCAGTGGGACAGCAGTCGTGCAGGAGAACTGCGCACATACAGGTATTTAGGGTGATTAATGAACAACTCATCTGGCAGCACTGCATTCTTATCAGCCAGGCAACAACACAGGTTGGGAACAGAAGACATGGCTTTTATGTCCCATATCCTTGCTTGCTTTACTGAATTCACTTATTTTAATAATCAATCAAAGCTCTCATAAAAGAATTCAAGGCTGAAATATCCAACAGCTGGCAAAGGATCCATTATTCCACATTTGCTGAGTGGAGGAATGCGTGGCACCAAGGATGCACTCTGTAACTCATGATATTCAGAACTAAAGTGAGAAAATTCAGCATCCCAAGTCCCTCTGTGTGTAAGGAGATCGCTAGCATTTTTTACTTTGTTTTGTCTCTGCTGGCATAGAAAAATGACCATAAAAACAAAATGTTCACACAGACGTGTTTCTTGTCTTAATCTTTCTGTACATATTCTGACAATGCACCAAAGCAGAAATCAGTGGTGATAAATTCATTTGGATACATATGAGTATGTGTGTATACATGTGTATATGTCTACATATATACATGCATACAGGTATTTTATTGAATGAATTAATTGCTCAAGTGTTCGCGTAAGCCTGATTATAAAGATGTACTAGAACTCTGGTTAACAGAGACTGGGTTACCAATCATCTTGGCTGTTTTCAGAAACTACACAGTTATTTTTCAATTGAGGCATCTTCAGAAACATAATTGTTACTATGCATTTGTCCTTTCTTTCTTTTGTCCTAGGGTGTTATGTCACTGATCATTGTTTGTACAGCCCCCACTAGCTCAATCTTATGATTCTCCATTCAAAAATATATTACACAAGTAAAGAACATATTTTCAGATATCACTTTGAAACAGAAGGGCATTTAAAACCAACAATAAACTGCATGCTATGGGAAAAGAATATTGTGCTGACTTTTGCATAGTCACAAAATTCAGAACAGATTATTCAAAGAACTCTCTGGGAGCTGATAAGCTTATAAAAGCAGTCCTAAGGAAAAAAAAATCTGCATATATAACAAAGTTATAGCATGTCACTTGCTCTATAAATTGTCACTATTATTACTTGGAACAGAAGAAAATATACATATACAAAGATATATGTCCATAATTTCGTATTCCCAGAGGAAACTGAAAAATTGTGTGCATTACAGTGTTTTAATTGCAGTGCAAAAGTGATATTTAATGATTCATGATGTGGTTTGCTGTCCCACAAGGGTAAAGGTGAGTGAAAGTGATGTCTGGTATTATGGGGAAAATTAGCCTTTGGAGGCACCCAGGTCTAGGTACAAATTCTGACCCTGCCATTTCCTGGAACTACAGACTCCAGCTGATCACTCAACTGCTCTGAGACTAGATTCACCCTATCTCTACTTTGTGGAGTCCTAGGAATTAAGAGAATGAAAGATAAGTGCCTGTCTGTTGCCATTTTTGTCAAATTAGTGAATCAATTAGAAAATTAAACGTAGAGAAACATTGTTCTCTATGGATCCTATAACACCAGTTTCAGTAAAGTCATTCAGTGTTTGACAAGAATTCATGATGAAGTTCAGTGTGTGCATTTTCAGTTCTCATATTCTATGATTATCTGAGCATACATGAAAGCAACACATAAAATTCCTTTGAAGACCAATTTTAAGAAAACTATTCTAGAATATATGGGGAATGATATTAGGCTCACTTGAGCATATCTATTTATTGGCTTTCTGATGAATCTTTGTCCATAGATGCAAAGCATGCAGTAGCTTTTACAGAACTTGCTTTAAGAAGCAACAAGCTATGTTCTTTCACATGCATCATTCACCACTGTTTCAAATATGTGTCATACTTCCCTTGCTGCTTGGGAGGCCCAGTTCATATATTTTTCACTCACCAAACCTTTCCACGAATACTCCAGCCCAGGGGTTGGTCCCCAGCCTGAGTCTCAAGCTTGCAGTCGGTGGACACCCGACTATCCTTCATTGCTTACCACTGGGTTGGGGAAAGCAAAGTCTATGCCTAGAGACAGCCTGAAGATTTCTTAAAAAATAAAATAAAAAGACTTTTCTTCATCCCTGTTCTGATTATTTATTTAAGAGAGCCGTCTTTTACTACTCTAGTAAGTTACCTATAGGTAGACTGTGAGAACTCCATTTTCAGCAGCTGATGGTCTGCCTGACAAGGGACTGTGCATTCAAATGTGCCTCAACACACACTGGGCTGGGCCTTAAACACACTACTGCAACATGGTCTTCCAAGCTATTCCAGTCTAGTGAAAGGAAAATGACTTTGCTGTACCTCCCTTTGCCCTCCAAACCTACCCCCAATCCTTTCTGTGCGCATCCTGTTCCATGCTGGCAAGGCAAGCAACAAACACCATTCATGTAGGTAGTTCCTTTCTCACTGACCTCCAGTTTGGTTTGGCCAATAGTAAGTGCTCATAAATTGCAAAATGGGAAGACAGTGAAACTACGTATTATTCCTCTACGTATTATTTCATGCCCCTCAGCTATTGGTACACGACATGCCACAGTTACCACCTCCCAGAGGTTGGTAGCCATGTCTCCCCTGGTCCTCTTGGCTTAGGGCTGTGGTGGCGAACCCATGGCATGCGTGCCAGTGGGCTGTTGTCACTGAAAGCGCTGGAAGGTTTGCCGTCACTTGCCTAGGGTATGGTGAAAATGGCTCTTCTCTGCTGCTGACTTTACATAACATTGGAAACACCTTTTGTTAACTCCCTCAAATAACACCAGTTTGATTTTGCTGCCTGGTTTCTGCCAGAACCCCAACTCAGCCTTCAATCCAATCTTTAAACGTTATCAAAAGAGCCACTCCAAGACCCAAGCATTATGGCTCTTTGTGATAACAGAGCTATTACAGGAACAGCTGCCATGCATAAACGATAGCTTCTTTATTAGTAGAGTGAAGAGCCACTGTTCTGGTCTCTTAGGTGACAGAAAACCAACATCTGGATTTGTGCAACAAATTAATCAGATAAGGCAGACTTCAGTAAGAAAATGAGAATACTACTGAGCACTATATCGAAAGATAAATCTATTTTATAATCTCACACAAATATCAAACCGCCTCCCAAATTTAGCTTTTTGTACTAGTACCATGACTGAAGCAAGTCACTGAATAAACAGAGATGGGCAGGATTCTTGAACTTCAATGAAAGAGTTGAGAAAGATAAACACGTATTGTTATGAACATAGCCCTAAAATCCATGAAGCTGCAGGATATCCAGGGCTGGTTCCTCTTATTGCATTATAGTCCCTATAAATATCTGCACAGAGATACAAGTTTATTTGACTCTAACAGATTCACTAAATAACTGAGATCCCCTATTAACTGAATGATGCTTTGCCCTAATTTCCTTCCTAAGATCTGTATTTTAAGAAACAATACTATGGTTTCTTTTGCTCATCTTCTCAGTTAAATTAAGCACTTTCTCCTAAAATGCTATCCAGCTATTCTTCTGGGGATTTCTCATCTTCTACAGTCCCAGACTTCCCTAACACAACATTCTCAGGAGCCTCATTTTCCCAAGGAGTCCTTTACTTCACCTTCCAGGTTTACTCTGTACCCACCTTTCTCAATTAACTTTCTTCCCTCCTCCTCCTCCTCCTCGTCCTCTTCTACTCCTTGCTTCTGTTACTCAAGGACATCTCAAAAGAAAAAAAAAGGGTAGACAAAAGTTCAGCTTGAAATGCACATTTGAGATCTCATTCATATTCTGCACCAATTTCCAGACCATAAAACTCCTTATTGGCAGGCAAATTGTTCTTTGATAATGTCTAAAATAGCCACTTTTACCTTGTGGTTAAAACAAAGCACACCTTGAAGGTACTTTTTATAAAGAACAGTAGGAAAGAACAGAGACCAAAAAAAAAGGGATTCTTCTTCCCTTTGACTCCTTTTTCTCATGAATGGATGCAAAGATTCACCTTACTCTGAATGCATGAGAGAGAAGGCTGGCTGTGGAATCTGGTGGGGGAAAGGTGAGAGTACCAGATGGTGCACCTCTGACCTTATTTGTAGAGTGCTAGGTGCAGAGCCCAGTGCCCTCACTGCAACACTCACAGCCATTGAAGGCAAATGACCTCCAGTTCATGGAGTCACAATTCTGGGCAACTGTTTTCTACCATAGGTAACAATCACTGCAGCAGAAAGTGCCATGCCTGCTCTCAGAGTTCCCCCGTGCCATATGGCTGCCCATTACATTTTGTACAGGACAGATCCTTGGTAAGTGAGGGTGGAATTAATTTTGAACAAGGTTAACTTTATCCTCTTGCTCATCCAGCCCCCTGACTCTGAGGCAGATCAATTTCCATTTACCCTTTACTGTCTGGGCTTGGGCAGGCAGTTTTTTCAATTCAAAGGCTGTGAAGCCTCAAATTAGCACATTCACCTTACCCTATGATTCACCTTCAAAGAACTTTCCCATCTGAAGCTAATTAACCCTCCCCACTGGGCTGTGAGGTAAGTGCAGTGCAATCATCTCCGGGGTGTAAGGAGGAAACTGGGGATGGAGAGGTTACAGAGAAGGCTATTAAGGGTGTCTGCAGCAGGTATGAAGTCATCATACAGTAATTCCAGGTGTGGTTTCTCCACCCACTCTGAAATCCAGACCTATTTACTGTGTATGTCCACCTTGTCATTCTCCGGTCTTTAGTGAAGGTATAAACAGAGTCTAGGAGATATAAGCATGTCAAAGAAAATAAAAAGAATTATGAATTGCCCCTTTAAGCATTTTGGATATCTTTCCCGCAATAACTCAGCATCAGAAGTCAATTCTCCCAGATCTTTTCCAGGAAAGATGTGTTGTTAGATGCCATACTGTCTCCTAGAAAGAAAGCTAAGAACAATACATCTTCATCTTTCTTCCTGGGAAGCACACAGTGAGACTTACTTTTGTATCTTCAAAAGCGCAGTCAGCCTTGGGGATCAAGGTCACTACATGTCCAGACCTGCGAGCTGCTGAGACAAATACGACCACACGGTCTCCTCGACACACTTGACCAGGCCCCAACACTCTGCAGCAAACCTCCTATCTTTTCTATTAGTTTCCTGTAGTGAGGCACGCAGCAAATACTTCCACCTTCCCCGCTGTAGATTCTCCTTGTTGTACGAAAGAGGACTAGGATTGGCAATTTCCAAGACAAAAGCAAACCTTCAAAGGCAAAGATTATGTCCCTTTTCCTTGTTGTTTCCTCTTCCTTCTCCCACTTACTCCAATTTTTAGGCCTTTGTATTGTAAATATTTATTTTCATATACTATTCTATACGGTATGCTACTTTCCTTAAGGACCACATTCACCCTTACGCATCCAACTGCTACTCTTATATTATCAGTTTCCAAATCACCCAGGCCTCTCCCTAATCTGAGAAGGCCAAAATGTAAACTATAACTTTCTGCCATCTTTCTAGAGCATAAGTTGAATAGATAACATACTATTTCATTTGAGGCATGACTTGTCCTCATAGACACTAAAATACTCTAACACTCCAATAGTTAAAATAGTATATAGTACTAACATATGAGTAGACAGACCAGTGAAACAAAATAAGCCCAGAAATTGATTCAAATGCATATGGGAATTTGTTACATTGTAAAGGTGGCTTCCCAAACCACTTAGGTAAGGGTACAATGTAAAAAGTTAAGTTGGACACCTGGGTGGTCAAGAAAAAGATAAGGTAGGATATAGTCTAGTGACTCAGAAAACCCAAACAGCAGATACTACAAAATAGTATTTCTGTTTGGCTTTGAAACACATCACTGGATAGCGGGTATGGGGATGTACGATAGTTCACTACCCTATTCATATTTTGCAAATTCCATTGGTAAAATTTCCTAAGGTCTTTGTAAGACCCATTATAGTTATGTGAAATACGAGCAGATTAAGAACAAAGATGAAGAAGAAAAATAGCCAGGAAACATTCTGCTCTTTTGACATAGAAGATCTATAGCCATTCCAGTGCACAGTACTGGGATTTTTAGCTATCAGAAGCACTTCTCTCTTATACGTGTCAGGCTAATAGGTACTAATATTTTTAACCCCAGGGTCCATCTTTCTCTTGTCCCCACTCCAAACCCCAGACTTTTTATTTAAAAGAATTTATCTAAATTTTATATAAAAGACAATAGCTACCCACTTTTAAGCTTAGAAATATATAATTGCTATGAGAAATGTCTGATCACACAAGATAACTAAATTATTATATTAAATTATTTGGACAAATGAAAAACATTTGTTTTTATATACTCATTGGCATATATTATTTTAATGCCTCTAAACAAACAATTCATTTTCTTCAAAATATAAGAAATAGTTTAACATCTCCTGTGAGGTTCTGAGATCTCAAATTTCATGCTTTTGAGAAAACAAGATGGTAGAGGCATAAGATGCCTTACTTGAAGCCTCTGCACAAAAATTTCATAGGTAAGACACCATCAGGAGCAACAGCCCACTCTCAAAGGAAAGGATGCCATGGCTCCTAGAACACATATAGTAAGGGTGAAACTCTTGTTATTCATCTTAGAGAAGAAGCTAAATATTCTTTCATGACTAGGCTTTTCTGAAGCATTTCGATTTTATTACATGTAAAATCAATTCCTGGGCTGGGGATTTAGTTCAGTGGTTCCACCACCTGCCTCGCAAGCACAAGGACCTGAGTTCAATCCCTGGTGCCCCCCTCAAAATCAATTCCTAAAAGTTACTGAATCTCCTGTGCCTCAGTTTCTTCCTTTTAAATGTGACAAAATCATAAAATATAATGCACCTTACCTAATTTGTTTCAAGCCTGGAGGACAGGAGGAGCTCAAAAAAATATTAGCTACTGCATGCAACATTCTAGAAATGAGCATGTTTAGAATTATATCTCTGGGGTCACCTAACAGGAATACCTCCTGAGAAGTTATGGAATACATCCTCTGTCACCATTTTCCTTACACTAATTAGCTAGGGTACAAATGGAAATTATTTATTTTCATAATTTCAATTTTAGTAGTGTTGAGTGATTTACGTAATCCTGAAGCTAGGAGGTCCCAGAACTGTATTCCTTCCTCTGGCCAATTTGTATGTCTTCCATCAAAGGCAGTATTTGTTCATCACATCTTGTCTGAATAATGACTTCGGGCTGGGGCTAGGCAGAAAATGTCAATCCCTTTTCCTACCCTCAGTGCGAGGGCTTGAAATATGGACAGCAGAGAAATACATAGCACAACTCACAGATAAGGGCAGAAACAACAAGCCCACAGCTGGACAAGCCACTTTGGAAGAGATCCAGGGTGGGGTCTATTTCCAAATGGGGAAACAGCGACTCCAGTTAGACTGCAGAATCTGGCACCTTGGAGCCTCTATTTTCTGTCACGAGGGGAATATTAAACTCAGAATCTCAAAAGAAATGACAGAAAACAGTGAGTATAGTCAGTCATTTCTATGTGTGCTTGCCTCCCTCCTGTCGTGCCTCTGCTGCACCCTAAGAAAACAGTAGAGCAAAAGGATTGTCAAGGCTGTTCCAAGAGGAGGACATCTAGGGCTCTACAGAAGTATTCCTCAGATCATCTGATCTTAGGGGGCGACATGGAAACAAGCCCTGTGTTCCTGATAGGAAATAAAAGTACTCATATTTTTCTGCTAAAAGTTCGAAAAAATATCCTTTTGCCACACTCAGAGCCTTCACTCATTCTTTCTTTCCCTTATGTGAAATGCATACTTAAATTAATTTCATAAAATAGCCCACTCTTGTGCACATGATTTATTTAGTCATGCAAGTAATGTTCAGGGAGCATCTACTATGTGCCAAGGACTATGTGGCTCACTGCCGTAGCTTTAGTCCCTAAAGTGCCAGCCCCAAGTGACTCTTACCATCCAGCATTTTGCTAAATGATTTCCTCCGCTGCACCTTCATGTAGAATAACTTCTTTTTAAAATGGCCTTTTCTGAAGGCTTGTAAGTACCAAGCACCTAACATCATTAATTCATGAAATTCTTCCAACACTGCCACAGTAAGATGGAAACTATTATTATGCCCACTTCACAGATGAGGTATCGGGAGTTCAAAGAGAGGATAAGTAACTAACCCAAGGGTACAAAGCTGGTGTGCATCAAGGAAAAATTTTAAATTCAGGTCTAATTCCAAACTCATCCATTTTAATCCCCACGCCACGCTGCCTTCAAAACTTTTAAAACATAGTTTGCTATGAGAGACACAACCATTTTAATAGTCCGTTCTGCATTTTCCTTGTTTGGTTTACTGTTTCATTCTCTTCTTCTTCCACACAATCCTGGAACCTAGACAATGATAATTTTGAAACAATTGTATCAAGCCATGTGCCAGAGCACAGCAGGCTAAAAAACTGACAGCCATTTGTACACAAATAATTAAATATAGGCAATACACTCCATTTAGTACATTGTTCAAATTCTGGGCTTATATAAAAAGGGTTCAGGAACTTAACAGCTGCTTCCTTTTGTGGTCCCAATGATTTGCACCCAAACAGGCTTCAAAGGACCAATTTTCCAAATCAACTTCCTTATACTTACAGCTGGCCACTGATAGCCTTTGCCTGTTTTGCCAGTCCCTAACTGACTAGGGAAGAGAATTGCTGTGAATTCCGTCTCCCCAGTTGCTTCCTTTTGTTTTCCCCAAACATTGCATTTCT